TGTTAAAGGTATCTTTTGATATAAAAGAGAACGCTTTTTTTTTGTAAATTGCTCGTTACTTTGTGCACAGCTGTACTATACAATCTAGTCTCTCCATCATTCAAATGTACGTTAATTTACAGTCACATTAATAACAGTTTCTATTACAGACTTAAAGGAGTACACTCGTGTAAGTATTTATTCGTTTCTTTTGTTGTTGTTTTTTCAAAGCAAAAGCTGCACTGGACTATCTGCTGTGTCCACCGCAGGGAATCGAAACCCGGACTTTAGAGTTGTAAATTCCTAAATTTATTGCTGTTCCACCTGGGGACTTTATATTAGTTATATATATAGAACTTTAACATTCGGCTGTATATCATCATCTTTATTGAAACTTAAAATTCGCTAGATACACCACTTTCACAAAACAACTCCTGATTTTCTATCTCGACACCACAATTCATCTATTATCCTCTTTTTCTTTCAGTTAACGTTTTCACAAAATGAGGCACCTTCAACTTCCCTGTTCTTTCTTTTTTACTTAATCGCGCTTAACAGGTAAAAATAACGTATAGATAAGCCACATGAATGCAGTAAGTATGGATAGGTGGACATTTAGGAAACAAAACTTCTTTACATGTTGTTGTTAAACTTCTTCTTCTTGAAAACAAAGCTACAAAAGGAGCTCCATGCGCTTTGTCCACCACTAGAATCGAACCCCATATTTTAGCGTTTCAAGTCCATACATTTACCGATAATCGTGTGCACATTTATTTTTATATATTTTATGCAGTTCTTCTCTTTACCACAAAAGCGAAAACGAGCATACATTTTACTTTTATATAACAAATCCATAATAAATTAGTTGTTTAAGAAGTCTGCTTATTTAATTTCTTTCATATTTTAATAACTGCTCAGAATGATTATAATAAACCAAGACACCATTTAATTAGAACACTAGAATGTTCATATTTAATCACTACTTTATGACAGACAACACAGAGATAAAAAACAAAAAAGGCAAAACAATTATTTAACAATCTTATTTTACATGCCAGTGGCGTCATCTTGTGAGTTTTTGTCGAACTGTAATTAATTTGTAAGGATTGTCCTAGCTAGAAACTTAACCTACAGATGGCGGTAAGGTAAACTTGGTCGTCCAAAAATATGCAACGATGGCAATTTCCATGCCATCGTATTACAAGTTTTATAAAACAAAATTCAAAATTATTGTCTTGTTCCAGAACGTAGTAGAAGGGAAGGTTAGTTTTCCTAGTAATAAAGGTATGGTGAAGAAATTATTCATTGCAATCAAGCGATATCCACAAAACTGGAAAACAATCAAATTAAGCCGTGTCTATAAACGTGTGCGTCATTTTAGCTAAGGATTGGTCAATCGTTAGTACTAAACTACAGTATATTAAAATACTGTATTTTGCAACCACACACCACCTTGCATAAGAGAGGTATGAAACACACAATCATAAATAGAATAATGCAGCAAGGAGGTTCACTTTTTGAATACCTGAATATTAACCAAACGATCAATCCCATTCATTGTTCCGGATCTTTAAACTGTTATCTTTCATAATAAACCTCTAGTTTTTGGCCATATATATTTCATATTTTTTTCATCAAAATCATCCATTGATTTCTTTAATAAAAATTGCTATCAACACGATGTCACTATTATAAATACTGTATGCTGATAAATTTAGAAGCTTCGTTTGTTAACAACTCTTTAACAATGCTATGTCAGTAATAATGATTATATATAATGCGTTTTGCTCTGTGTTAAGCAACTACTTGACGCCATTGACTTGTGTTCTAGCTTACGCAAACATCTAACGAGTTTAAACTAAATGGAATGAAAAGGTGAAAGATAAGCAGTACCATATTCTAAGATATAGTAAAATTTATGACAAATGTTGGACACACCTCCTTGTGAGGTTGTCAGAGGAAGTTTTATTACACCTTGCTCATTCCTACCTCGTTTTCTCACTTTTTTGGTGCGCCCATTCCTACACTTTCTTTTATATATATATTTCCACTTGTTCATGCACTTTTTTCATACACAGTGACATGATCTTATGTATCATTCATTCATTCGTGTCGATATTCTGTATCTTTATCATCAGTATGGGTGTGCACCATAATATCATGGTGTGTGTGTGTGTACACATTACGAGTATGTATGTGTCGTACACTATGGTGTGCAATGTCATTTGGGTGATGTACTGTGCATATACTAAGGGTTGATTAATTAAATGAATTAACTTCTTAACGTTTACACTAGCACGTGGTCCACATAGTACTGTTCTATTTGGTGCATTTATAACTATGGTAAGTCTTTTAAACAGCTAGATGCATTCAACAATGTCAGTCATTCAGTGAGATTGAGAAATTTGTGATTTTTTTGTATCTGCTCTGCTGACTTTCTCAAGTGGTTCTACGACTTGTAATTTTGTATGTAATTTGTTTATCACCTAAGGTGTCTCTCAAATACTTTTGAAGATATATTACTTGGTAGTTAAAGGTATATATGAGTAAATAGTTTGTATTGCATGTATTGTGTATTTGCCCCATTCCTACTATAAAATCACACAGTAAAAATCACACATAGAACAATAAGCAGCATTGCCTGAATTACGTTTTTAGTTATTAAGATGTTGTGTATACATAAGTGATTGTTTTATTCCATCTGAACACTCTTGGTTACATAGAAAGCATAAACTTGAAGCTAGAAATCAATCTTAAATTAAGTTTTCTGCCAAATGAGAATGATGGAGAATTATTTAAAAAACAAAAATTAAATAACTACCCAGTAAAAATCACACATAGAACAATAAGCAGCATTGCCTGAATTACGTTTTTAGTTATTAAGATGTTGTGTATATATATAAGTGATTGTTCTATTCCATCTGAACACACTTTTGTTTACAAAGAAACTATAAACTTGAAACTAGAAATCAATCTTAAATCAAGTTTTCTGCCAAATGGGAATAATGGAGAATGTCATAAACAGACCAGTTAAACTGTCACTGCCACAAGCTATCAACTATGGTACCTACCTTGCCTGCACACAAAAAAGCACTGGTAGGTGGCACAATACTGGAAAATGATATTGTACTTATCTTATTAAGAACTTGAAACTGCTATTAAGGAAGACTAAAATAACATTCACACTAAATGGGAACTGTTCTTCAAACAACATTATTGAGCTATAAATTGTGAATCTCAGAATTATTTTATTGATTTTGTCAATATACTAACCAGTAAATTTCATAAAAATAAATTCATTCAAAATCTGAGCTTTAAAGGACAGATTGTATGTCTTAGATCAGCTATCAAATCAGAGTAAGATTAGAAACCAACCTTAGTTTTTTTTATAATTTATAAAGGTACTACTAGGACACAGCTTGACTGAAAAGCTTCACAATAAACATTTACTTTTTAAAATATTGGTGATACTAATTAAAAATTGTAAAATGGCTAAGAATGAGATATGTAAAACCAAAGAATAAAATTTAACTCGTCAAAATATTGGTAATCTTATTCTTTAATTCAACATACAACATTTTTTAGCTATTTTAGGATTTTAAAATATACTTCACAGGGATTCATATTCTTCATAATATTGTGATATTAGTGCTGTCAACGTTTCCATGCCGAAGATTTCTTGGTCAATCAGAAGTTACAGAAATGAGCCCATGTAAATCCTGAAGATTACAAATATACAGGTGATCCCAGAACTTCAAAATGGATTGCCACTCAGAAGACCAAAGCTGTTTACTACATCATTTTAGATCGATTTACTACTATTGGAATGTAATTTACATCTTGTTTATCTATAAAGTATACTAGTTTATTGACTTTAAATTAAAACTGACAGTATTTAAAAAGGTTACTAATCAGAAGTATCATGGACTTTCTGTTGTTCTTAATTGAATATTAATTTCACATCATAGTGTTGTTAGATCCCTCTTTTTTAATAAGAAAATGATATATAAGCCTATGTAACAAGTTAACTGCTGAGCTTACTCAGCCGATTGTGGCTTTGTCTGTTCATAAGCTTACTGTATTCATCATTGGTCTCAATAAACATACTGAATAATTGGAATGGATAACATCTAAAATGTCTTCCAATGTGAGTGTATAGTAATTATCCATTCACATTAGTTCAAGATCTGAACTAAGCCCAATGAGGAATGCAGTCCCTGTACAGAAGAGAATTTGCTTATCAATAATCTACGGCTACTACTAAACAAGTAAAATCAGCACTTATCTTGTTACTCAAGTCACAGAGTAACTTCATCTGGTTTTTAATAATGATAAATCAGTAAATTGCTATAGTTAACAAGTTTTTAATTGTCCACACATTGCAAGTCGAAATCACAAACCAGTTTAGATAATCTACAAATTTGGCTGGTATTTCTTAGCTGAGAAGATTACAGGAAAATGTTATTGGTAATTTTATAAAGATTGGTAATTTTCAATACTGTATTTGTTTATAGTTTTACTCCTACATCAATATTTATATTGTACTGATTTATCTTACTGAAATACCTTCCTAGCACATACTAATATAAAAAAATCGAAACCATTACAAGTGAGAGCATTTTTCAAAAATTAATCAATACAGTTACTTTTTTGGTTGGATTAATGAAAAAGATAGAACTTATTTTTTGTAAGCATTATTTAATTATTATTTTTATTATTAACTTGCTAGTACCAAGTACTGTCTTGAATAACCACACATTAAAAAAGACAAGGTACTATGATTAACTTCTAACATTCAGCTATCTTTAAAGACCAAAACCAAACACTGAAGAGCTACTATAACAAAAGTTTTAACATCTACTTCATTTGCAAATCATAGTCTAGATACAAATAAAATATTGTAGCAAACTTCTAACATTTTGTTTTATTTGAAGTCTAAATATTATAGAGCAGTAAATCCTGAGTTGGTTGATAAAAACTGAAAAGCTGTTGGTAAATCTAATGATAATTAGGAACATTAGTTAATGAGGCTGTAGAGATATTTATTAAATTTTCATCATTTTAAAAGTAATACAGAATCAAGCAAATGAGTAGTCTTGTTGAACACTCTCACTGAATTAAGAAATCAGAATCAACAACTGATGTTGACAAATCAAAATCTCAAATTATCATGTGATGAACACTAGCAAGAAACATTTATTACACAACTGCTTTTTTTTAGGCTGGACAATCTGAAATAACCTTGGAATGATCATTTCAAGGTAACTTTTAAATGTGGACAATACAAGTAACAAGATTCAATAGTAGATGCTCATGCTAATACACAAATTTATTTGCAGATAATGGTTCAAAGTGGAACAACAGTTTTTATAAAAACATGTTTCAGAGGTCATGACCTGTGCTCTTAACAAATGAGCATTTTTTGAATTGGCAAATCAAAAACATGGAAATTAAATAGTCAAAACAAAGGCTATTATGAAACAAGAAAGAAAAGTAGATGTTTAACACTTGTCACTGTCTCAGAAACTAACAAAATAAGTTGGACAAACTGTGCAAAATATTCAAAAGGTACATTTCATTAGTAAAAACAAGGTTCCAGTTATATATGCATACAACCTTCTGTGGCAGAAGAGAGAGCTTGCTAAAGATATGAAGCATATGTCATGAATAAACATTGTTGTTAAAGATATATTTTATTTGTTAAAATGGTATGGTACAAGTGCTTCAGGGATGATTAAAACTAGCACTAGAGCTGACAAAAACATTATACAGTGCATTGCCAGTTGTACTGTCATATGCAAGAAATAGTACAGCATCCATGCCCCAGATTTAGTAATTTAATAACAGCTTATTCACTTTTATGAGTACTATGATAATTATTACAAAGCATGAGAGACATTATGTATCTAAGGTCTTCCAAAAACTTTAACCAAAAAAATTCAAACTCATTCTGTCCAATATAGTTTTACATGAAAAAAGTATAAAACAGACAACACATGTGTTAGCTTACACAATAAGATTAATACCAAATAGTTTTGACTGTTAAACAGATTAATCTAATCACTACATAGTCATTAATAATCTTTAGGTTTTGTTTTCAACCAACACGCCAGAGGTTTGTGACTGCTGTTGCTCTGATGGTTTAGCTGGAGAAGGTAAAGAAACAGGCTCACCGCGAACTTGGATATTATATTTTTCTCGATACTCATTAATCTCTTGTCCTTTAGCTGTGACCTTTTGATTTAGAGCATCTACTACTTTGGAAAGCTATTAAAAAATAAAAAAACAAATATTCCCAAAATATCAAAATTTAGTAAACTCTTCAAAACTAAAAACAAATTGAAGAACTATTTTTTCACAATTCAAAGCATTTCTTAAAATTAACAACATACATATAAATGTATTTATACGTTACATCTGGATATTCAATACAATTTAACTTCAATTGTTTACACAAAAAATTTCATTGTATTTACCTGTTCTTTGTTATTAAGTATAGCAGGAAAAACTTGTTTAACATTTCTCTCAACAAGAACTCCTCCCACCATTCTAAAGCACCTTCTATCCCCATCTACTTCTTTTAATGCATCTGCAACCAGCCTAGAAAAATATATACATACACAATAATGCAAGGGTGACTGACTATCCAGTTGTTTCATTTAGAACAGTTGAATGCCTAACTATTACTATGAAAACACAATAATTAGACTAGTTTGAAATGTCTTTGTAATATATTCTTTAGTACCTACCATATACTGTACTGACCAACTGACCGTACAGTCATTTTTCCCCAACACATACACACATATATACACACCATTAATGAAAAAAAAAAGGTTCATATTTAAGTAACAAAACTTCTCATGTTATTTAAGTAACAACTCATCCTAAATACTATCAGACTCGCTTATTTTTAGTAACATAATCCTTTATGCCAATTTTTCAATATCTGCATAGTACATCTTTAAGAGGAATGTTTATTTTGACACAAACAGGAATTAGAGCAATAATAATAAATTAGGCCATCTAAACACCTTAAAATATTTGGAAAATATGCAGCTTTGTCCTGATCATTTATCTATAAACTAGAGTCCTTTTTCTAAATGTTTAAATATAACTATAATTAGCCTTCACACTCATTAAAATGTTAGAGCTTCAAAAGTATTATAGCATTACCAACAAATAAGAATTCTGTTATCAAAAGCTGTCAGTATCAGAATGGTCCTTATTATATTGAACTTGATCAAACAAATTTTGTTTTTTCTATAATAATCTTTTCAATCTTCCTGTGACCACAATAACACCTCTAAAAACTAGTAAAATTATGGATGCCGAGGTTTATCAAAATATAATAAAAAAAGTCAAAATTTAATGTTACAGTAATGAGGGACAAAATCTCTCTTGGCTTAAAAAATCCAATCTAACTTGAAGGATTTTCATGCTTATGTATATGCTGTAAGAGGCTCAAGAATATATTGTTATGAGATGGAGGAAAATATTGGTCATTTTAGACATTATTGAAAATGTCTTGAAATGCTCCTTGGCAATTTTAACTGGGAGTGAGGAATACACAGTGAAAAAACTTACCACATATCTCCTGGGAAAAAGAACATTACCTAACCCAGCAGATTACATGGAAAAGTAGTAATGGGTTGAAAGTGCCATAGAAAGAAATATCCACTCAGTAGTTATATCGTTCCTCACAAAAATTGTAAAATGAAAGAAAGAAATCATCAGCCGAACGTAAGACACGAACTCCCAGCAAACTAAAGCCTATGCTTCCCCAGCAGACATCGTCAACCAAGATCTGGGAACTCCTGTCAGAACCATTGTCTACTATTGCAGGAATTCCATCATCCCCCATATTAAATCTCAAATTCATATGAAAAAATTAGCAATCGAAAAACAAATTTCTAAAACAAAGGAGTAGAAACAATGGAAATCAAACACAAGAAGTCAAAACTTGAAGTTGAAATTAATACAAATTTGTGATCAAAATTTTGTAGTCACATGAAGAATGAGTTAAAACACAGGTCTATACACTAGAATGCCAATCAAGAAAGTGAGGATTGTGCTAAAATAGTAGAGGGAACTACCTGCGCTAGTAAAGGTGGCACAGTATGATTGGTGGAGGGTAGTCACATGACATACACACGTTCTGATATACACTAGAATGGCAATCCAGAAAGTGATGACTGTGCTAGAATAGTAGAAGGAACCACCTGTGCTAGCAAAGTTGGTGCAATATGATTGGTGGAGGTAGTCACATGACATGCACATGTTCTGATATGGCACGAAAATAAAGGGGTATAATAGACTGGGAGTGCTATTAGCGAAAAATTTTTTTTAGCAATGCTTAAAAGGCAAATCAAGGTCGAGATAGCTTTGGGTGAGAGGAGGTGGTACCATTTTGAAAATAAAGGGTGTGACGGTATTTAAATTTTTACTATATCATGGGTAAGTAGCAGGAACAGCTTTGAAGGACCATATGGTACTTTTTTGTCCATAACTTATGTTAAGAACATATGAGCATTTTAATTTTTTAAATTATCTCAGAAAGATTTTTCTTAAATGCCTTAGCTTTTGGAGAGTCGTGCTCTTATTTCTCTGGACATAGCTGAGTGATAAAAGTGATTAACCAATATATACAATCATCAAACACATCAGATAGTATCACATAAAATAATAAATTAATCGAAACTAAAATTAAATTGACTAACATCATGAAAATAATCAACTACTCACAATTACTATTTTTGATTTTTCTATTTTCAATTATTCCAACTGTCCAGTAATTGAAATTACAATTAAATTGATTAATGCCATGAAAATGATTATTTTTCAAAATTTCAACTGTCCAGTTATCAAAATACTTGTTATTACTATCAACCAATTCAAATTTGTTCAACTTAATTGATTATTGTCACAACTGGAGCTGAGCAATTTAATCAATTAACTTAGGTTATCAAATACCTATGTGGCGGCAATTACATTGATTAGCGTCATGATAAATAATTGATTAAATGAAATTGTGATTAAGTCGATTAATCAAAATTAGTTTCAAATTTTTCCAACAACTGATTAGTCAAAATTAAAACTAAATCACTTGTCAAGAAAATAATCAACTAATCAAAATTGTGGTTGCCAATTATTACTATTTTCAATTATTCCAATAATCAAAGTACTCAAATATTGCTGTTATGCACAAGGCTACATAATGGGCTATCTGTACATCTCCCAATTTTAGCCTAATTGTTTTTTTTTCACTTCCACTTTGCTCAGTTTTAGTGATTTTTTTTTTGCTTGTATGTTCTGTGGTAGAATTGATTGCCATACAATGTAGTCTGTACTAGTATTTTGCATTCCTTTAAGTTTTAACAGATTATTTTATAGGTATGAAGAGTTACATTTAATTTACACTGGTTTCTTTCTTGGTTGACTTTGAATAACATTTTAAATTAAAGAATATGTTAAAAAATTGCCAAGTTTTTTATATTTTTGTTCTGAAAGGATGACATTTTGAGCTAGTGCTCTTCATCAGATCATAAAGCTTACAACCAGCTGTACAATCTGACAAAGAGTGCTAGCTTGAAACTCATCTTCTGAAAATAAAAATATGAAAAACTTAGTGATTTTTTTAACCTATTCTTTAATTTGGATATCTTTGTTGCCTGTGTGGCTAACCATACAATTCTTTGAATAACACTCTGTCATGTAGTTACTAACACTTATGTTAGTCTTATACAAACACATGTATTTTACAATCAGAATAACAACATTCATTTATGTCTTGCTGCTAATCTTATCAACTGTTAAAGAATGTTGAATGTGACTAGTAAGAATCCTAAGCGTTCGATTGCGGGATCTATGTTGTTCACTTTAGACCTAAATGATTTAAATAGCTTCTTGTTTAGAAGTAATGTTAAATTTGCTGTTGATTCTAAGATGCTGGTAAGGGCCGATATTGTTATATATACTTATTTTATTTAAAAGGATAGTTTTATATTTGCCTCATAAAGTGAACAATTAGTTTCAATATTGAAAAGTTTAAGTTACATGGGATAGAAAAATTCCAAAGAACTTAGTAAAAAAAGGAAAAATAAAAGATAATTTACCTGCTGTGCTAAAAACAAAATAAAATTTACCTTCACATCCATGTATATCAACATAATAAAAACCACTCTGTTTGTAACACTCCATTTGTCGATAATGCTCAACTCCATTAGTAACATTCAAATTGGCTAAGTAGTTTCTCTCAAGCAAAAGTCCCAATCGAGTAAGGATTTTTGTAACTTTTGTTAATTACTGACTCATCATGTTTAGAGCAAGATATTACAATATTATGAAAAACCAGAATAATATGTTAGTTTACATTAGGGATTTAAATTATTTATAACATTCAATTACATAGACTGGATGACACAGTGGTTATATTGCTTGTGTTCAAATCCCAGTTAAGTCAGGATTTTAAGAGTTTTTTTAACATAGGAATACAATTATAGATTAATTCAGGGATAATATCATATTACATAATAAACACCAGTGACTCTATGTGTCAAAAACAAATTAAACATCTTTTTAGCCTAACAAATGGCACTACAATACATTCTGTTTTTCACCTTAGGTAATAATTTTTTTTAATTTGGTCAAAACATTTATAAGCAATGTTTACAAAAAAGTTATACCTCTGTGCATTTGTCTTTCAGCATAAAATTTATTGCCTTTGTCATCACAATTAATAAATAGCAAAGTTAGACACTTGACCATGTAGAAATATTTCTTCGAGAACCAGTTTTTTCACGTTTCAATCTATAACAACTTATCGCGAAGAAGATTTGAAGATTTAATAAAGAATAACTTACAGGATTTAACCAAATATACACACAAAATGTTTTTATGAAATACTAGAAAATAGATAAACATTCTGTATACACACATTGTAACTAAAATTAGTTTTTAAAAAACGTGTTTATAAAACATTTATTTACATTTAAATTTCAGAAGAAGAATTAATAACCATTTACTATCGTATGACAGCCATTCAGCAAGTATATAATAAAAGTTTCAAACTAACAGAATATATATCTTAACACAATTACTTAAAATATATCATCACAACAGATCTAACATATATCAACTAAAGGCAAATCTTGCATTATTAATCTGTTGGCTTTTTATTGAGAATATTAGATATCTGGATGATGGATGTGGCGTGGACTTCATGTACTTAGATTTTCAAAAGGCTTTTGATGAGGTGCCATAGAGAAGATTAGCTAAGGAAGTTATATCAGTAGGGGTTGGGGATAGACTAACTGCTTAATTATACAGTAGCTAGGAGACAGAAAACAAATTTAGAAATGGAATCCAGTTAAACAGTAGGTCAGTGCTTAGGCCTTTGTTTTTCCTTATTTAAATGAATATTAGTGATAGTAAATTACTGCTGAGAGTAAATTAGCAAGATTTCAAATGACATTAAACACTTGCATATTTCTAGATGTATTTAAGATGTTAAGGTATAACAGTTTGTTTGTTGTTAAACACAAAGATACACAATGGGCTATCTGTGCTGCACCCACCAAATGTATCAAATCCCAGAGTTACAAGCCTTAACATATCACTGAGCCACTGGGAGGCAGGTATCACAGAAAGAACTTTATAGCATGTGAAAGATAATGCACTGGGTTATCATAACTTAAATCATCATATACTCAAATAGATGGAAACCTAATCAACAGCATGACTGAAGAAAAGGTTTGTGGGATTGTGCTAGATAAGTCACTCAGGCAATGCTCTATTGTTAGTAGTAAAGCTAAAAGAAATTTATGGTTCATTTATATACATATTGATTGCAAGTCAAAGAAAGTAATCATCTATTTATACAAATCACTAATTGTCCCTCACTTAGAATTCTGTGTAAAACTTTAGTCTAATTATCTAAGAAAATATACTGACTTATTAAAAAAGGTTGAAAGAAGGGCTACCAGGATTGTTAATATTATACAGACAGACAAGTTATCTTGCAGAAATAGGTTAAGATCTCAACTTCTTTTCTATTGAAAAAAGAAGGACAAGAAGTTATATTACTAAAGTTTAAAAGATTATCTTGGAGATCTTTAAGACAAAATCCTCTCATTTCTTTGTGCTATATTCTGAAGACAACAGTAAGAGGGGTCACAGGTTTAAGATTTGTAAAAGACAAGTTTAGGCTCCAGATAATTTGTTTTTTTCTAACACTAACAGTAAAAGGGTGTTTGGTTTATGGGATTAGTTACCAGAAGCAGTAGTGGAGGCCAGCACTTTAAACTTTAGTTTTTTTAAATAAACAATAATGTCCTGAAAAATAAGATAAGTTTATACTTAATTCTTCGTTTTCGGTGGGTGTGCAAGAATAGCCTTGAAATGACCCAGTGGTCCAATTTTGTGCATAGGTTACGTTTTTCAAAGGTGGCTGACAAAATGGTCATAAACAATCCACACGTTTAAGAGTAAAGAAAATTCCTCACAACTTTCTTTCCTAAATAAATTATTACAAAATTTACAACTGAATCCTTCACTTAATGAGTTAATCTGTTTTTATAAAATTTCTTAGAAAATTATTTTTTTTTAATTATTTTATTTTCACAATAAACTAGCATTGCCATTAACTAATTAAGTTGGAAATACTCATACAGGCAGTGAACACATATGTACATACTCTACTCCTATTCCTAAACGTTTTTATGTTTCGGTATTTACGATTCAGTGTGAATGGTCAAATACTGAAAAAGTAAAATACAAAACCACTATCAATCATTTTTATGCTGTGCCTTACCTGTGTTCATTTAAGTCCATTTCCAGCTCCGCTAATTTCGATACTATATTTCTTTGTTCTTGACGAAGCTGGTTAAAGCCATAAACTATCTGTTCTTGAGTAAGACGTTTTCCCTTCTCGGATTTATTTGAACCTTTTTTGTCGTCCGAAGCCATTTCATTTACTTTCTGTTCTTAGTCTTACAATGTTACATACACTTGTAATACTAATACTAGCCTAAATCTGTATCAAAGTTGCTAAAATACAACAGATACTACAATCTTCCATAGGGGGCGATAAAAGCGATTCTACCTCATAATTTCTTTGAATAAACTACCACTTCTTTACTAGACCCTACACTTTAACAAGCATAGATATGATTCACATTTTTCATGTAAGAATTTCTAGAAAAAAAACAGTAACAGATATCTCCCCTTTAAAGGCTTTATACATAATTAAATTTAGATTTATTCACATTTTTCTTTAATAATTTTTACTTCCCTTCACAATAGTTACTTTAATTGCTTTTTATCCTTTTTAAATTTATTACTCTTCATATTTTTATTTCACCTTTCCAATTTTTTATGTATTTTTATTTTAAACTCTTTGTGCATTTACTCACCTTCTTAAAGTCTTAAATGTAATAGGGTTTGTTAAGTATGAAACACGTTATGCTTGTAGTAAAGCCGAACTTTCTTGTATAAAACCAGTTTGAATATGAACATCCAACAAAGAAAACTACTATTGGACATTATTTACTTTTAATAATCAAATTAAGCTATTGTACTACGGAACCGTATTGTCCTACGTATTGTCCTCCCACTCTAAATGGCTCTAGTGCTCATATCACACTGTGATGTCTGTAAAATCCTATTTTTGTATCATCTACGCATGGAATTGAACCTTAATTTCTAACTCACCAAATGAAAATTTTATTAAATCAGTCAAAGGAGTAACCTAACAACAACTGCTAGTAAGGCACATTTTAATAATTCGTAATATAACATTCTTTACTTCACACGATTAGTGAAGAAACAATTACTTGGGCATACATTTTTCCATGGTAATCCAGATTTTGAATTACCTGCGATGTGGATTGAATCCGGAACCTTTCAGACACCAGGAGAAAGAAAATGTGTTACCTTTGCTAGTTTCGCAATTGAAATAATTGTTAATTTCACCTTCCAACAACTAGTTATGGATATAAGAACGGCATATTTAGGTATATTCATATAATTGCGTCTAAATTTTCGTTCAGGTGTTCTACGTGAATTTAATTGGCTGTTTTTTTGTGTTTTTTTAACAGAATGTAGAACGAACTTAAACTTGCGCGAATCCTCTAGGTTAAACAAAGGTTACATACCACAATGATTGATCAATAAGGTTTATACTTAATAGACCCTACTCTTGTGTCATTCCCTCTACAAGCGACTTCCGTAATCATATTAACAGGTAATAAAGAGACTTACACAAGTTAGAATTTTTTCCATTGTTTCATTTGTTAACTGTTCTTTATTTGGTATATCAGTTTAGAAAATACAAAATTTTTGTGACATGAAATTTTTCAGCTTTTCCATGATATCCATCAACTTTCGAATATATTGAACCAAGATACTGAGATTAAATATAACTAAATTAAATATACTTTTGAATGTATGTGGTAGGCAGCCTTCATATACTAAATTATTCTATAGTTTTATCTAAATTTCAGAAAAAATTTGTAAATACTTATAAGTTTTAGTTAAGAACCGGAAATTATGCTACAAGTAATGTACTCGATTTATCTTTAAGTTCTAGCTTGTACTGCAAAAGGTAATCTTGGTGTTATCGAATGTCTCAGAGAATGGCTGTATTGGGAACAACCTCATTGTAAGGGTTCTATACGACTATAACATGGAATATAGATTCACACAAATTCCTGGAATTCGACATGTGATTAGCGCACGTATATAATGTTTTATGAATTTTGAAAATTGTTTTTGCAACTTCATATAGGTCCTTTGCAGATTTGAAATAAAAAGCCAAAGTCTGTGTGTGAAGTGGTGCTTCATCTCATTGTTCTATGTTCTTATGTTCTACACCTAACACATGTGTACCTTTTTTATTTTAGTTTTGCACAGAACTTTTAATCTAGTTTTATCTGACCTTTCACATTTGGTTTTCTTTACTTAAAATCTCGCCCTTCATTCGGTGCTATTGTGTTTCATTCTTAACTTTTCCTATTTTACATAGCAAACCTTAGAAATGTACTTTAATCACGGGCGTCACTAGATACTTATAAGATTCGAGACTCGGGCCCATAATAGCGAGAATTTTCGGCGGTTCAGTATGATATCGATCATGGTTTTTATTCTAATTTTTCCAGACACCAACTGAGAATTCGGAGCACTGTCAAATAGAATCAGGGCTCAGGGCACGAGCGCCATGTGCCAGTGCCTTACGACGCCTCTGACTGTAATTTAGTAACTGCATAAAAACTTCATTAAAATGAAAAGGTCTTTTGCAAAATGAAATGCTTATGACAGAAAAAGAAAGATAACCGTTGGAGTAAAGATGAAGCCTGCATTATTGCACTGGCTATAAGAAATTCTCTTCTGGATGCTCTCCTGCACATTGCTTTACTTTGCGATAATTCACAATTAATAATTCAAGTTAAGGATCTGAGCCATGGCCTGGCACTTTTCAAGCTTCTGAGAAGAGACAGGGTCATTAGTGTAACCATAAGCTCTTCTAGCAAGAGATTTGGAATGTAGAAGCCAGAAGTCATCTGGCGTTCAATTTTGAGTGGAGCAGCCTGAATTCGTGTTTACCAGAGTGACTTATCAATCTGCTGATCAGGAATGATAACTACATGTTTAGGCAAATGCTAAAAATTTCAGGTTTTTGAGAGGAGTCAGTGACATCGATGAATTTGGTACCTACTTTGCTAGCCATCTCAGAGACACCAAACAAAGGCGTGTGTATTTGCTGCTGCAGTTTAATGATAATGAGGTGAAGGTGATAAACCTACCAACTGTCTAAGCTAATTCTTGAAAGAACCTGGATGATTTCTTAAGGCGTTTCGAATATGTAACTGCCTGAAACAGGCATGTCAACATCTTATATTAATTTGGACAGTCCAGTAATGGCTTCTGTTAAGCATTTAAATGAGTAGCAGTTGTGCACCTAATATTTCAAGTGATAAAGAACAGCCACCTCCTAAGGGAAATCCAAAGCTCAAAAGCACTGTCTTCACGAGAGTTTGGCTGCATACACATATTAACTGAGTTACCTGCTTGTGAAGATATATATACCGGAATGGCAGTTACAAATTGTGAGTATATTCTCATTCAGGAGTTTACTGAGAGCTTGCCAAGTGGGCAATGCACCATCACATGGCTTTCAGAAATATCTTTTCTTTCCCATCATGGTTTGAGATATTCACATAAAACAATTTATCAGAGTGAAAAGATCCAGAATTGTGGCAACAGTAACTATTCTCACGCATGTTTTCGAAATAATAAATAGCATCTCTTTATTCTCATTATTAACCCAAAGCTTCACAACCACGTCACTAGAGGTTGCCGTGCAATAAAAGTGGCTAGTAGTGGTAGAAGGGACTTTCCAGAGTCTATTGTTATAGATGCACCACCTGTAAGACAGAAATGACCCTTAAGATGATGTGTCTACTTTAAAAGTGGGCTGGTAGGACAATCGAATAAAAACTATTCATACCCTGTCATGCAACAGGAAAGACAGCAATGTTTCCATCAAAAGGTTAGGAAAAATCAAGACAGTCAGTCATGAACATTAACTGCCACTAGATTAAACCAATGCATTCCATGTCAGTTTTGGTTAGTGATCTCAGGTGTTGCAGTTCATTTGTGTTCAGGGGTGTTGTATGTAGTTTAGTTCATGCAGAGCTACGTTACACACCTGTGAAAATTAGTTTCTAAGTAATACCATAACTGCTAGAACTCTGATTCATCTCACACTGTATTAGACATCTCAAGAAAAACTACCACTCTGGATAGTCCATGTTTATTTTTTCTAGCTAATGGGGATAAGCTTGGAGCAACCAAAGTAGTTCAACTATGTCATGCTAGTTGATGTCTCTGATCTTGGCTTAAGTATTGGTATCTTAGAAATAGACCTAGTGTATGAATTATCAGCATGGTCTGTAAAAGAGATGATCTGCAGCTACACAGATAAACCATTTAATATCAGCCTTACAGCACCCAGAAAGACTGGACTGCTTGAGTGCATATATATGAACAAATCATTGTTTCCTTTAATGCATAAGTGGTTTTTTATAAACCTCTGCAAATTCAGGTTTATTTTGTCTTGATGAAAAACCATACATGAAGCTCATAGTTTTCTGCCCTGAAACTAAGCTTCAATAACTCACATAGTTATCTTACTATATTTTAGACTTATACCAGGGATAAGTTTTAATTTTAAACAAACTGTTATTATGCCACAAGTTGGAATAGTTATTGGCATAGTATGTGAAGGGAAGGAGAAGTAACTGAAGCTAACCATGTATTATTATTACCCCCAACTTTACACTACCCAAGAGATAACATATAGCTATCAGTACACCTGAGATCATTGTTTAAAAACTGTGTAAATAACTTCAAAGTAGAGCATTGACAAGAGCTCAGTAAGTGTGATTTGTTGCCAGATCTTGCTGAGGTATTTATTGGATCAGATGGCCACATGGAATAGATAAACATCACATAGTCATATGCAATTAGTGTCTGGTAAAACAGCCATAATGCAGACTTTCTTGAAGTACAGATATATTTCATGTAGTGAAATAAATTGTATATGTAAGTACAAAGCAATACAACTTTAGAAAATTCTTAGTGATCTGCATTATTGATTTTAAGGGGAAAGAATGCCAAAGTTCTGTATTGACACCAGTGAGGTGAGTGGGTGATGTGGGTCATTGTCCTTCTATTGCTATAACTGATGAATCTCTGGATGCACTTGAAATAGTTTGATGGTTCAACACATTTGACCTAATTAGTAACTGCTGGTTTATAGAACTAGTCAATAAGAATAGACCTAAGAATGCATTCAGCACTTGAAAAGAGCTGTGTAAGTTTTAAATCATACCATTTTTCAGGAGCAACTGATGGAACCCTCATCGCGTGTTTTGCAGTGAGAGATGTTTTTCAGCGATATGTATAACATACTGGGGTTTAGCTACGTTTCAATCTGCTGCTGAAATTCTGAGCATAATATTCCAATGACTAAGGAAAGTAGATCTGAAACTAAAGCCAAAAAATTTGTTCTTATTCACACAGATGAA